ATTTCCCTCCCCTCACTTTTCTTCCATTAATGAAACTCGGGAACACAATTTTCCTTTCACGCCCCTCACTTTCCCTCCGTATCCTTCCATTTCTCTCCTTAAGTAGAACTCGGGAACAAGAAGTGTGAAGAAGAATAAGCATATAATAGGAATGATTGAGGGAAAGTGGGGAAATTAAAGCAATTGATATGAACATCTAAAGTAAAATCGAATCCTTATATAGGCACGACAGTTAATGAAAGTTGCCCGATTTCTAGCAACTATGGAATCATGTGGTGTAGTTATTGAATAATTCATGATATGCAGTTCTTCAAGAAATCGATTAGAAGATATAGTGGAGGCGTGTTGCTTGATGGATGTGTGAGAAGAACTGCCTGAGGTTGAGTACCAACCCATTTGAAAAGTGTTTGGCAACTTAGGGTCACCTCACTCCACTACAAGTTTACTACCAAGCCACTAGCCTTTGAAAATGGTTACCACTCCATATTATTTATTTATTTATTTTGATATTAAATTAAATAAAAAATAACTTTGAACATAAAGCTTAGCCAATCACATGCGAAAAAACAGTCAAAAAAAGCTTAGCCAACCACATACATCGTCTTCGTCTGTCTCCATGGCCACTTCACAGTCAACCCATCAGAATTCAGGGCGGTGTTCACGCGTTGCTTAATGTGCCATGTAGGAACCCACACGTGAGTTTTTTCCCCATTCCAGATAGCCTAATAACTGTAAATATGGAGTTTAAGTGGCTAAGATTGAAAGTTGAGTGGATCTGATAGCTGAGAATATGACAATAATTATTGACAAACCATCGTCAATAGTATATACAATTGGAATATTGGATACGAATAGCAATGTCGTAGGCATAAAAAATAGAGAAGTCAAAAGGATTTTATTTTCATAAATCGAGATATTATTAGGAATAATTTGCGATGACAAATTCAGCCCGAGTAATTGTTGGCTTTAGTATTTGTAAATTTCAGTCCAATTTAGTTCTTTGATCTTGGTTTTCAAAAGGTTTGATTGAAAGTGTTGGATCATATTGTTAATTTTCGAATTATTTAAACAAAACAAACAACATAAACAAATACATCAGACACAATGATGTAGCAATTAGATCATTTTTAACACATTAAAAACAACTTATTTAACCTACAAATCTTTTTTTGGGTTACTTTGTTGGACAGAAGTCGAATTACTCAACCTACAAGAAATGTTTTAAGATTGTCTTGCAATAACGACAAATGAATACTAACATCTAAATTAGAATCTCTTTGTAAGTATCACACCCCTTAGCAATCAAACAAGAAGCATTTCTGATTGGAGACCTTGGACACGTTTCTTTATGAAACGGAGGGAGAAAAGAAGGGACGACTCTCCTAGGTTTTTTAGTTGTGTCCGGTTTTCTTTGTTCTTACTCCTTTATATAGTTGTGAGATTCTTGATTCAAATTCAAAAGTTTTCTTATTTAAATTCAAATATTATCCAATTATATTGTTAATATAGACCTTATAATTATCTAAAAATATCTATTATTTATAGATAATTTATATAATTATTTATCATAATTAATAATTTAATCCACTAATTCATCGCTAATTATTTATTGATATTTTAATAAATAATAAATAAATTCATTTATTTTTAGACTTTATTTATTTATTTATTAAAACGACGAATTAATATATGTCTACGATTGAACGATTGAACCTATGATCTCCTTGGTAAAAACACATTGTTAGAAAACTTGTTAGTCCAATAAGTCCCAACTTGTCAATAATTTTTAGTTATTTTGATGTAAAAACATATTTTGTATTTTTATATTAAAATGATAATTTCAACCTTGAAATAAATGATTTATAGATAATTAATATAATTATTTATCATAATTAATAAATTAATCTCACTAATTTATCTCTAATTATTTGTTGATATTTTAATAAATAATAGATAAATTCATTAAATTTTAGTTATTTATTGACACATCAATAAACTAAAAATTAACTGGTGTTCATTAATTGATGTTAATTGATATCATTATATGATCTAAAAGTTTGCACCGATGTTGATTGGGTCTTTGCCAAGACATTTATGCGATAATATAGGCTAGAGAAGCACTCAACACCATCAATAAGCATTCCTGTTTATCTTCACCCATAATAGTACATAATAATAATCATAATTTTCTAATAAAAAAACATCCTTCTTCCCCTTTACGTAGGAAGCTAATTAACAATATAGACCATGGCAGAGCCCCAGCCTCCCCCTAATATCATCACGACGGAGCTTCCGATGGAGATATTATTGTTCAACATACTACCGAGGCTGCCGGCCAAATCACTACGCCGTTTCATGTCTGTTTGCAAGCAATGGCACTCATTAATAACAACCCCTTCATTTGCGAAGATACACCTCCACCATTTAACCAACAATGACCATCAAAACCACCACAAACTTCTGGTCTTATCTCTCTCAGAACCATACGAGTTCCACACCATCGATTGTGAAACACCTAAAGATCCTTCGCCAGCCACCCGCTTCGTGCCATTTGAAGGCGCCAGTTGGGAAACCTTTTCGATTGTAACATCTTTGCATGGAATGTTATGTGTAGGCATAACTAAGTCTTCTCGGGAAGATGCTCAATACTCTCAACTAATTTTATGGAATCCGTTGACGGGTGAGTATAAGATGTTGTCTAAAGCTGGTTCCGACACCGAATGTTACATGAAAACTAAAAGTCCATTTGGGTTGTACTACAGCTCTTCTGATGACGACTACAAGATTCTACGTGTCACCAACTTTCACGCTGCTTATATGTATTCGTTGAAATCCGACTCATGGAGAAAGGTAGTCAAGGAAACATATAGCTTCGAGCAGTGGGTTTCCGACTGGTTATCACATAAGCCGCGGTTTCTTAACAACTGGTTCTCATATACTTGGGAGCCAACTGCTTTCTTGAATGAACAACTGTATTTCTTAAAACAAGCGACTGATGGAGACTGTTTTCAAAACTCCTATTCCATTCTGATGTTCGACACAAAGACCCAAAATTTCACAGAGATTGCAACTCCTTCTTTCAGACACCAATTAACAACATGTTCAAGTTTCATGGTTCACAGAGATCGAATCCACTTATGTGTCACTATTTGGGGAGGAGATTGTAACGTTTTTGATTACAACATCGAGTTGTGGAGGATGGATGGAGATGGAGATTGGACGAAGGTGGTAAATTATCGCCCAATGTCATCTGATCTGTGGAATAAATACCCACTGCACTTGATGAGGAATGGAAACTGGCTCATGCATGCACTTATTGGAGGTGGCATTGTCCAACTAGATATGGACAAGCAAACTACAGACGTGGTGTATCCAAATATGATTGATATGGGCATTTATATCACTCTAAGAGGCAAATACATCGAGACTATTGTGTCACCAAATCAATATATGAAGTAACAACCTGATCATCATTTGGTTAGTTTTATTCATTAATTATTTATCTCTCATCTGTTGCTATGTTATGGTCGTATCTTAGATCAGTAGTAGACTTTTGTTACCATGCATTATACCTAAATTAATGAAGACAAGAAATAGATTTTTGAGTTTTGTTAGCTTTTTTACTGTCATCAGTATTCATATGTATTATCTTCTAGTTATGTACTCACGCAATGTTATCCCACTGCTTTTGTCGCTATAAAATAATAGATGACTTTTAGATTAAATGTATGCAAATATTCGTTAGAAATGAGTAATATACATATTACATAGATAATGAATACCGTCGGTCATAAATACACATTAAAATTAATGGTAATACATTTAGAGGGGCATTGAGTTCATCTTCTCCTACATATTCTATGTTTTGTGTTTGAAGATCTTCTTATTTGCATTGGCGATACTCTAATTATCACCTGATGTAGATTAAATTTTAACTAGTGGAAACCCGCGAAGTGATTGAAATATGTAAATTTTGGAATCATAATAATGGAAGTATAAACTTTTCATAATATTTTTGAGTTCACATAGTTCTAATATATCTTTATCAGCAACCAAATCTCAGTGCTCGAAACACGATAATGATAGTAATCTTAGTTCAGATATAAGGGTAGCGTGGATACATTGACCCTGTTGGGTAATCTTGATGATGGCTTAAGTCCATTTTGGTTCATGGGTTTAGATAGGTCTATTATGCATGTTTTTGTTAATAACAAAAGCTTTGTAAAAGCTGTTACCGGGTCTTAGGGAGTGTATAGAAGAAGTCACTCCTTAGTTTTAGGCGAGTCTAGTACTATTTTATCTCTTTTGCATGTTCCCGCGTGACTAGTGTAGGTAAGGCTATATATAAGCCTATTTTGTTTTTACTTTAATGAAGTATGGCAGTTCCCTTGCAACTTTAGAATACCTTTCTTTTGTCTATCCATTTTTCTCCACTGTAAGTTCATTTTAGTGTGAGTTTTGAGATTCCATTTCCAACAGACCCGAGGATCCCTGCAATTGTAAAAGATGACAAGTAATCAAGAGAAAGAACAACCTACTTCCATATATTTGTGTATTATAGCGACTTACTTTCTGTTATAGCACTATACTTTAAAAGTACAACGATGTAATAGGAAAAGATGAACGCATAATGCTATGATAAACAAACAAATTGATGTACATTGCAATTTCCTTCATAAAACATGTCATACCCCTCTATAGAATAATATATGAACAATACTTAAATGAGTACACTTAATTATGCAATTTAAAAAGAATATCTACGAGATTTTTGCAAAAATGGATTGAATATAGAAACCCTTTGTAAAAATGGGTTGATTTTTATTGGGATATATACACTAAAGTCTCAATATTTTCATCGATTTGACAAGAAAGTCTTAAACTTTATTTTTTTGACAGTAAAGTCCAAATTACCCGACAATTTTTGACACTTTTAACCCTTTTTTTCCCGGTTAGCCGGTAATTAGGACTTTTTTGTCAAAAAATTAAAGTTTAGGACTTTCTTGTCAAATCGTCAATTAGGAATTTACTATCAAAAAAATAAAGTTTAGGACTTTCTTATCAAATCGTTGAAAATATTGGGACTTTAGTGTATATATCATTTTTTTGTTAGAAATTTAATGGTATGATACTCTTTAAGCATAAAAGTTATTGAAACATTCGCTAATCAGCTAGATCTTATTGAAATCCTTAACGTTTGCTTCTTGTTAAATCGTTTTTTTAATCTCAACAAATCGACATTGAAAAAAATAGAGATAATCAAGAAAGAAAGAAAGAACCAGGGTTGTGTTGGCTTTTTGCAGTCCCAAAAATGAAGAAATAAGAAACCGAAAAAAACGAAACTGCCCTTCTCCACATTCACACCATTTTGACTAGGTATGTGTTGTTTGTGTTTGTATAATCTGTCCCCACTTTTTAGTTCAAGATTTGACGTCAAAGTAAGAAGAAATTTTTACAAGGGTGAAACTTTCTTCTTATTTTGACGCCAAATCTTGAACTAAAAAGTGGGGACAGATTATACAAACACAAACAACACATACCTAGTCAAAATGGTGTGAATGTGGAGAAGGGAAAGAAGGACAATTTCGTTTTTTTCGGTTTCTTATTTCTCCATTTTTGGGACTGCAAAAAGCCAACACAACCCTGGTTCTTTCTTTCTTTCTTGATTATCTCTATTTTTTTCAATGTCGATTTGTTGAGATTAAAAAAACGATTTAACAAGAAGCAAACGTTAAGGATTTCAATAAGATCTAGCTGATTAGAGAATGTTTCAATAACTTTTATGCTTAAAGAGTATCATACCATTAAATTTCTAACAAAAAAATGATATATACACTAAAGTCCCAATATTTTCAACGATTTGACAAGAAAGTCCTAAACTTTATTTTTTTGACAGTAAAGTCCTAATTAACAATTTGACAAGAAAGTCCTAAACTTTATTTTTTTTTGACAAAAAAGTCCTAATTACCGGCTAACCGGGGAAAAAGGGTAAAAGTGTCAAAAATTGCCGGTAATTTGGACTTTACTGTCAAAAAAATAAAGTTTAGGACTTTCTTGTCAAATCGATGAAAATATTGGGACTTTAATGTATATATCCCATTTTTATTCCATTTGCAAAAATGGGTTCTTTTTTTGTGCCCCATATAAAAAATCAAATATCAATATACAATTTTACATTTTGGCCCCTTCAATTTTCATAATAACCCCACAACTTATATATTATATTGATTTTATACCTTTTTTTATAAAAAATATATACAAATGTAAATTTGTATATATTAAAAACATATAATTGAAATATGTCTATTATGTTATTGCGATTTACATCATTAGAAAATTTTAGTAAACACATTCTAATTGATACCAATATCGAATATATTACATGTTACAAAATTACGAAATTACAAGATAATTAAAGACACAACTACAAAAGAAATTAAACATGAACTAAAAACTAAATTAAACATAAAATTACAAGAATAATAAAAGTTACATGGTTCACATCGCATTGAATCTTGGTTGAGAATTTGAACAATTTCTCCTGTTATGACCAGGTTGATGGCATACTCCACATTTACGAGGTTCGTCAGGAGGGCGAACATCCATCTCGTTACGAAATCGATGTGCACGCCTCCGACCTCAACCGACAACACATTTTGAGTTATCTGCTTGAATACTCCAATCAACCTCTAACCAATAATCAACATGAGGAAGTGGTGAAAACCCGTAATTATATTGTTTCTTATACGTCACAGTTGTGTAAAGATGATTGATAATGGAAAAAGGGTTATCCCCTCTAAAACGACAAACTGCAAGAGCATGTGACCAAGGGAATCTTTCCATCTGCCACTTACCACATGTGCATGTATGTTGATAATAACTGAGAGTGTGGGTATTTCCTCCGTTTTCATTTATTTGTAACTTGGTGACAATTCTATAGACACCTTCATTATATTTGAACTCAGTTAAAGTATGACTTTGTGCAGAAGTGTCACGTTTATGAAAGAGACACCACATACGTGATGGTAGAGGTGTATTGTAATTCATTGCAGCATCACTATGTTTTCTAAAAAGGTGCACAGTTCTATTGAATGTTAGATCAATACACACCCTAATAGGTAGTTGTCTTGCTCCTCGTAGCGCATTATTCATACTCTCGGATATACCTCATCGACGATTTTCATCATAAAAAGGACACCATTGACTTTTATCAATTTGGTCTAAATACTGCGAGGCTTCAAATAAGAAACATCAACATTTAGAATATTTTTAATATATGTCTGTATATGTTTCACCGGATAAGCAATATGTTTTTCAATTGAGTGGATGATGTAGAAGGCTATAGTTGCAAAGTTTAGACTTCTATTGTCATTGCATCTACAAGATCCGAAACAATTGTGTTCTGTGACAACCTAAAACTTTTTCCGTTATCTTTACCCGATTTCCGTTAATAAAATTTGGATTTTTTTTAATTCCGTCAAATTCCTGGGTTTGGGAAAGTTTTTTGGTTTTAAATAAATAATATGTATTTAATACGAGTCGGAAATAAACCGGAAATCACGCGAAAACTCGAACTCTACTCGAAAACACCCTGTTCTCGGCCAAGACGAGTTTACGGCCGTAAACTCGTGTACGGCCGTAAACCCGTTTGAGGTCGGTGTCAGGTGGACCCCACCACCGACCATACCCTCCAGCCTATAAATATAGGACCCCCACCCTCATTTGAACCTTCTTGGCCGAAAACACCATCCTTCTCTCCCTAACTCTCTTGACCGTAAACACCATAAACCCCTCATTTCCTTCCGAAAACACCAAAAATCGCCATTTGGGGCCGTTTGGGAACATCTGGAACACATTTTCGTCAAAATCGAGCACATTTGTTCTTGAGTTTACGGCCGTAAACCCTTCGAATCTTCAAAGGCCGTAAACCCTTCGAATCTTTAAAGGCCGTAAACCCTTCAAAGTGCGTTCACGGCCGTAACCCTTTCATTCACGCCGACAAACCCATTTCTCGGCCGTAAACCCTGTTCACGGCCGCAACCAAGTTCACGGCTGTAAACCCCCATTCACGGCTGTAACACCTCTTTATTGTTAAAAGTCTGCTTCCTCCGTCGTTTAAAAGTTCCCTCATTCAACCAATCCCCGTAACTACTGGTAACTTCAATAACCTAAAACGAGTGTTTTTCTAACACTTTATCTAACGAAATCGCTAATTTAGATACATATATGTATTTATTGATATTAGGATTCCGTTCACGTACATTGACTCAAGGATCTTCCAGCTCAATCCTTTGCATCCAACCAACTGTGAGTTCATACCCCTACATTTTTATGATTTTTAAACGTTTTCAGGGGGGATACAAGCCAAACACAACAGTTTTCAAAAAGTTAAACTTATGCAATTATACCAATCAACGAGTTTCATAAAATATTTAGATATTTTACCCCTTTTTGTATTA